CATCTCCCATCACACAGACACACACACACACACACAATGGTCAAACACATACCAACGTCACCTGGAGGGGTGTACTTGCCCAAATGTCTTACAAGATAAGAAATGATGAAAGACTCGGTGCTCAAACAAAAGAAAAGTTCCCTTGGTGGTATGGGAGCTTTTTGGGCTCTGTATGAAAGAAAGTGATGAAACACTTGAGAAGAGGGAATGTCAGACCGAACCAGAGAAGCTGTGGCCAACAAGAAAATGTGAAGATCATAAGACCTACAGTACATCTATGACACAATCAGCCCAAGGTCTGCAAAGTGGCTAAGCATGGCGACGCCACATGGCTAATTAGCATTAGCCTGCCGTCTTACCTGCCTCTGACGAGTCTGTCTTTATTTGCTGGCTTTGGGAAATATACAGTGATACACCATTATCGCTACGTAGGTTAACACCAGTGCAGATACAGTATGGGAACAACATCATCATTGTCACACCCAAAGCAGGAGAACAAGGCAGGCCCTCTAATAAAGGGTGCGCCATACACTCTTTATATCTATCTGCCATAGAAGCATTTGAAACATTTGGGCAGTACAGCAGTTTATGGGCTGCAGCCATAAATAAGCCCAGCAATGAATTTAGGCAAATTCTAATAGTGTAGTTGTTCCTAGAAGGATGAGTCTGCATGAAATAACTCTCAGCATTACAGAGCATGAACAGAGCTGCTGAGGCTGAAGTCGTCTACAGAATCACTGCAGTGTGTGATGCGGAGCACTGCAATTTAACTGTCGATTAGGCTGTGATCACACAGAAAATGCTGCACCTTATTGCTTACACTGAGGAGGTTATGTTTTGAGTCCCATTTGTTTATTTGTCTGTTACAGGCTATGATATCGCAAAAACTGTTCAGTGAAATTTGTTAAATGGGTAAGCAATGAATGAGTGTAGCATCAGTTTTCTATGCACGCCAGATTTCTGTGTACAAGTATATCAGGATTTCATTTAAGAATTAGCAAAACCAGATAGGAAATTCTGTAAATATCTGCCACAAACTACTGGTACAAACCAATTTTAAAAAATCCTGGCACATGTATCTTGTAATTGTCCACCTGTGTGTATTTTGCATGAAATCATTTTTCAATGCATTTTGGTTTTTAAAATCTGGCTATTTAAATAACAAATTTGGGTGACTGTGCAGCCCAGAATGTACCCCGTCTTTTCTAGCTGTGTTGATTTCATTTGTTTCTTGACTTCTTACATTTCCACTAAGACAGAACTTTAGGTTTTAGCGTCCTGGGGCACAGGCCTGGGCATTGGATGCATCTAAGTCTAACCTAAGTCTCATAACATCAATATTTAAGAAGCCCTTGAAGTGGGCACTGTCAGAGCTCTTGGGCAAGATGAGAAAACTCTCTGTGCCCTGTTCTCTGCCTATTCATTACCCCAAATCTGATGCAAAGTGGGCTGTGAAAAGCATACTTTTTTTGCGGCTCTCTGAAATTACCAAGTAGTGAAATTAGAATATAACAAAACTACTTTGTCTCCTCTGTCCTCTAAAAAAAAACGAGTCCATTAATTCAGTCCTGTCTCCTAAAAGTCAGGTTCTCATTCATGAAAACAAAATTCTTAATTTCATTTTGGGGAGATATATTTTCCCAGAAAGCCACCGAAAGTATGTCTGTGTCCTGAAAAGGTAAGAGTACACTGAGTCTACAAACTAAGTATTCAATCAAATTGTTTCTACTATCTAAAAGTAAGCGCTTCCACAATAGAGGAATGTAAACTTTAAAAGAGAGGGAAAAGTCAGCATTTGGGAGATTGGTCAGCAGGGGATACAAATACAGCCAAGTTTTTGACAAGGAGACTGAAAAATGAGACTTGAATCTTGGACCATTTTTCAAAGTTTCACTTTCTTGCTGTGAAGTTAAGTATACACAAAGAAACATTTTGGTTAGAGTTAGCCACATAACATTTTGGTTTGGGTAAAAACAAACCCTTTTATAACTTTCACCACATGAGAAAAGCTCCATTTTTGGAACAGGTAGCCATGCTATCATTTTTAAAGGTGAGACACCGGCGCATTTTACATGCACTTGTTCACATCGCCACTAGAGGCTAGGCAACTTTAAAAACTTACTATAGGTTGTAAAAATGGATTCCATATCTATGTAATTGTTTTCTGTGGGAGTGGTTTTCAATATTAAGAAGCTGCTTCCTTATTCACAAGGGGTCGCCACAGCAGATGGATGCACATTTGATTTGGCAGATTTTTACACCAGATGCCTTTCCTGACGTAAGGGCATCCAGGGATTTGTGTATACGCCTGGTCTCAAACCAAGGAATTTTCACATTGGATGAATGTGCTAACTACAACATTTTAGAGTGATTGTCAGTACTGCATGGTTAAAAAAAAATCTACAAAATCCAGACTGAGAGTAGAAGGTGGATACCTTTGTTTATGACAGAAGTGTACCTGATTAATTGCTGGAAAATTTCAAAGGGATATATGTGCCATTTCAGAAAAAAATAATCTGTGAAATTGCATCTAACCCTTAAACTGCAAATGTATTTTGGAGGAAAGAGAGAGTTCAATGATTAGTCAATTGGTGTCCACTGTGTAAACAAACCACCATTAACCTGCAACACAAACATTTTTTAATACTCATAAATTGAGCATCAGCACAGGCTTACACTAACTACAAGGAGTTTTCCATGTATCCCAATAATTACAATTCACATCGTTCTTTTCCAAAGCATACCATAGGTTTTTAGACCAAGTACTTTTTTCTACCAATGAACCCTTTTTTATTTATTTCAATATAGCTTTGAAAATCTTCTTCAAAAATATTTAATATGCTTCAGAAAGTAAATCTGGGACACAGAGTTTTAAGTCCACTTATGTGTTCTTGTAAGGCTCTGTAAGCAAGGACTATTTGATAAACTCTTCCATTTGGATGTTTGCCGAGTCTTTTTCACCTCCTTTAAAAACATGACTGATAGTTATATTTACAGGTAAATACATTTCCTACAACACAGCTTATAAAAGCAATGCTTTCAATGTCAATGCTCAGACTGAATGCACTATTAAAGCTACGTTTTCCCAGTGGTTGGTGTTGCAATACCAGGCAGCATTTAAAACAAAAATCAAGTTTTGTGTGTCAGCAAATTAATTTTCAAACTACACTGACTTGAACTGATGAAAAGGGTTGCAGAGACAATGGAAAGTCAGCTAAAAAGGCATGCTTTTTTAAAAAGAACACTTTAAATAAGCAGTTATGTAACATTACACAGTTTATAGTTAATGGACTCCAAAGCATGCTAAATCACGCATGGTCATTTAACTCGAATTCATATTCCTCTTCAGTGGGGTCACATTTAAGGCAACATGGCGGGAAGTGGAAGTGGCTGTCTGTATGATTAGATCACAGCTGTACACACCTCATAATGGAATTTCAATTTCCACAGCTCAGTGAGATCAGGTAAAAGTGTTGGACAAAATCCTGCTGAAGGAAAGGACAGCAAGAATAGCACAAGGCAACGTGCATCGGGGCAAAGTAAATAAGTATTTTTGCAATTTAAAGATACATTTCAAGTCAAACTTACACGATTTTTCACCATTAGGCTGTCCAGTAAAGCGATCCAACTACGTAGTTTATTGAACACATAACAGTCATGAGAGAAAAAGGCTATTTAACAGTAACGTGATCTGATACTGGAAAAACTGATTCATTTGAGAACTGATTTTTAATTCAATGATGTGATGTGCAAGTAAGCCTGACACATATATTATTGTTTAAAGGTGCTCTAATGATCTGATGGTCTGTGGTGGTAGTGGCATCATTCATGGAGTTGCTCAATAAAGGAAGTCAGCCTCAGACTTATGGAAATTAATCCACAGGCCGAATTAATGTGATGAGGATGATCATAGGTCATTCTCGTTGTTATTATCAGCACAGTGTACTGAATCAGCACTGACAATGTCATCAATGTCATGTGGGACAACACGTTATTAAACTGGGGAAGACGGGGATATAACTGCTTAGATATAGTTTCTCATATGAAGCCCCTTGACAGCACCCCCCCACCACCGCCACCCCTTCCGGTAGGCGTTATGCGCACTGGTCGCCTATAGGGCGGTGGCTGCGCAAGCATGTCCAAGAGCGGGACAGTCTGTGGGGAGTTGGGGACTCGTCATGAGGCGACGACGATCCCTGGCTGCAGAGAAGCGTCATGCATGCAACCTTACCTGCGTCCCCAGCCGCCCAACTCTAAATGAGTAACTACATGGCTTGTGCCTCCTAAAGAATCCCTCCTAAAACACACACACACAAGCACACACGCAAGGCACAGTTCTCGCTACATTTAACAGAGCTACATTTAACGAACGCTTAACAGAAATGTAGTCTTTGCCACATCGAAGACTTGTTATCACCTTTGTGAATTCAGTCATTTAAAGTCATGTGTGGAATGATTCAAAATGCCCAAACAAACGCGATGGCGTGACTTCATCGTGATCCGCTCAATGACACCGGACTCACAGGGAAAAAGACACACGCCACCGGTTACTGTAACATTCTTCTTTCTTTTTTCTCTTTTTTGGGCTTGCTCTGTCAGTTTCAGCGGGCATAGCCTAAACGGATGAACCAAGCAACCATGCGCGACAATAATCGACTCATCCGCAGCACGGTGTTTTATCTGTCACTTAATCCCGGAGGGAGTGCAATATATAAGTTGTCGCCGATGCAAAAACTTGTGCAGCCGCATTCTGCTTCTCATTGCGCCGCACAATTCAACTTCCAGGCATTCCAGCACACTCGGCTCTGACAGTGAACAACGACAGCTCGTCCTGCGCCTAAAACTGCTGCGCAAACACATCGTTTTATGGGAAAATCAACTCTCCCCTCACCGAATACTTGCACTCACGTGTGACATGATCACATATGATCTTTACACTTCACGCACCCACCACCTCCCCGCACACCACGCCCGTCTACACAGCAACATCCAGTGCTCACCTTTAAAGACGCTTGCACAGAGGCTGTAAAGGATGAACATCAAGTACTGCTTGACAATCATATTCTTCTCTTTTCCTTCGCAATTCTACGTCAACACTCCACTCGCGTTTGACTCTTTTTATTCTGTCTTTATCTCTTCTCTCGTCAAGGTGGACTTATCCAGGTGAACGGCGCAGTTTCTGACTGACCGGAGTTACATTGATGAACTCTTGCCTTTTTCTGAGGAGTCCCTGTGTATTTTTCGCAGATCAGGGGGCAGTGATCACTGTAGTGAAGCAGGACGGCAGAGATGCTCGTCGGCAAAGTGCAGATCCTGCCTCCCTTTATTGCCTTTCTCTTTGACTCGCTGCAGAGAGCAAGAGTCCCGCCCACGCTTTTTGACTAATGAAGACGCTTCACCAATGGAGAACACCTAGAAATAGTTCTGATCTCCGGTACACTGTCGAAACAATTACGCCGTAGAGCGCAGTTACTTTGATACATCAGTTTCTAGAAGGGACATCGGTAGTCATGTGACAAGTTTTTTTTTTTTTTTTTTTTAATCTCATCATTTTCTAAACACCAAAGCAGAACAATAGGCCTCTGCAGGAATATGATTATAGTTTATGCATATGGGGAAAAATATAAGGATCCAGTCCTGGCCATCACATCACCGAGCCTCCAATGCTCTAAAGTGGAGGATCCTTGCTCTCTGTTTAGTGTCAGTAGACTGAACTAAAAAAGTGCAAAAACGACCACGCCAGAGATTTAATGCATGAAAATATGCCCACAGCTAGCAGAGCTAATTTAACAATTTTAGACAGTTCTAAACAGCTACCCTAGAGCCATAAAAGCTTTATGAGCAGCCAAACAAGCTCTGTTGTCAATACCAGAGGACTCGAAATAACTGCCACTGCGACACATATTATCACTTGAAAAAAGTTTTACAGCTTAAAGAGCACCGTGTGGTAACAACAGAAACACGTGCCCATGTTGTGTGAAGATGCATTTGCTTTCGCAGAGGTTGTGACCTGGTGTCTGGGTGCATGTCGGGAGTCAGGGCGCAGGCACGAGGGAGGTTAATGGGCACCCGGACATCCCTCTTCCTTCAAAGGTTCCCTACGAGAGGTGCAGAGAAATGAGTGTGACCATCCCTAAAGACAGAGGTGTGAGGAAACGGCAGCTCCAGCCAGGGATCGTTTTCTAAGCCGACGGCGAGGATTTTACACATGGTTTAACATGCTGCTGGGCGAATTTGGTTCAATTTTGCACAGTGCTCTTCTACGCCACTCCCACTTCAAATCAAATTGCTGACCTGGCTGTACCACCTGAGAAAGATGTGGCATAGCCCCCAATTTTAAACCAATTGCTTTTCCTTTTGCAGTATGAATCACTGGAAATAATACAGGAAGCTCCACGTTCATTCTCTAATCAGTCATTTGGATCACTCATTTTCATTGCAAACCAGAAGTTAAATAGTGTTTTCCAGCTTTTTGTGGTTATTGTAAGTTTTCATTCTGAATAGCTAAAATGGAGGGGGGGCGGTTCTTTGTGCTCTCATTTTGTTTTGTATGCTGATGCCTTTAGCCTTTTAACTTAGAGCCATTCACATCTCTAATCCCTGGGGAATCACTGATGCCTTTCTGAACTGTAAACCTTGAAGGACTGAGTGCTCTTGTGTGACATACATTCTCTGTACAACTCACTTATAATTCAAATCAGACCTATACAATTACCATGAGGATGGTGGTAAAGAATCAATCCCGTGAGTCCTGAAGGTCAGTTCCTCGTCATTTCATTAGATCCTTGAGAGTAGAATTCTACTCATGCACCTTTTCAACGGCAAGGATTTATTGACCATGTGAGTTCAGCAGAAAAGCACACGGTGCTGACACAGATCTGTAATGCAGAGGAGCATGTTCCCCTTTGTATTTATCTCCCGGGCATTATATTGCATAGCATTCTTTGATTTGTACCATTTAAAATGCCCCGTTGTGTTTGTACCGTCAGATTTAACAAGGTCACCAGCGTACACTTGAGAATTCCAAGTACCTGTTAAGACACAACACACTTTTTCCCCCTTTTGTGTTGTTTAATGTTCAAGACTGCAAAGTCCACAAGAGATATTAAAACCAGGGAGAAGAAAGTTTAGGCCAAGATGAATTACAGTGTTTGCATGAACCTGCCACTGATAACAGTGATCTCACTGACTGAAAAGCAACCAATCCAGATGCAGTATACACAATCAATTTCAGTGAGGATATGAATGACAGAAGTCATAAAGCTTGAATGCTTTATCTAAATGATGAAGTACTGAATCCAGGATTAGGGCAGAGACCATGTAAGTGCTTTTGTCACTAGAAAAAAAATATAACTGCAGAACAGAATCCTGATAAATATTTAAAATTCATGCTGAAGTTTTGGATATCAAATTTCATAATCCAGTGCAGCAGACACATACATATTTTTACCCTATCAATGCACCTCAGGGAAATAACAGCTGTTCTCTCTGGCTCGAACTTAAAAAATGGCCCACAATGAAAGCTTTATGTTCTTTTGTGCCTTTTTCTTATTCCTGTAAGAACATTTGCTATTAATGGCTGGTGAGAAGGCAATTCCATCTGTTTATTAGCTTATTGATAGGACACTGGGAATAGTTACATCTAACAATGTGCTTTCTGCACCAGGCAAACTACATGCAAGTCAGCACTGTATGAAATCTTTAGTATGTGCAGCAAAATTAGAGCTACACATTCAAACATCCTGTCTGGGAACGTATATTATATTACAAATTTTATTCCAATTACCTTCTTCCAGTAAATGGAAGAAGAAAATATTTGTGTAATCAATTATTTGATTTTCTTCTTATACTCTCTCCTCTTTCAGGTGTTCTCATTAGGGATCCCCATGGATGCCTACATCTCACCCTATCCCTTGCATGCTCCCCTTGTCAAACCAACCCTCTGCATGTCTTCCTTCACGACACTCATGAATCATCCTTGTGTGCTTCTTTTGCTTTTACTCGTATCCAAATCAATTACAGTATGTCATCAAATTGATATACTTTTTTGTTATCTTACATGGCAGTTGGACTTGTGTTTCATATAGAGATGACTTTAGAGTAACTTTAGACCTTGAATGGTGATTACTCATTGGTGGCTGCAAGTGAAAAAAAAAACATGATTAAAATTCCTATGTAACTGAGACTGAAGTCATAGGAACTAAATACTGTACTGTGGTGCAGTTAAACAGTTCATAAATCTCAGAATTCATGCTTTACTAAGGTAAAGCTTTCTTGTGGGCTGCTGGTCTTTGTCTGCTTTCCATATGATTCACTCTCTCTAAGCATTGCAAAGAAAACCTTAAAGAAGGTTAAGTCATTTTGTAAACAAGTTATCCAGCAGAGGGTTTCATCATCAGGGCTTTTTTAGAGAATATCCCACTCGGTTTTTTCATCACTGAACATATGTTAAGACTGCTGTGCAACTCAACATTGCAGTGATTGCTGCACTCTGTAAAAAAATATTGCATTTGATAAATGATTTCTTTACAATCCTGGACAGATGTACGTGTTAATTGAGAATGTTACAGAATTTCACGGCCATGGCAAGCAATACACATCCGGATAACATATAGAAATAACTGGTTAATTTTTTTCCCTTTTGTGCTCATGGATAGAAATCAAAAATAGCATAGAAAGTCTGAATGTGGCAAGGATAGGTTTTGGATTTGATTGCATTACAAGGAATTGATTTTAAGATGCTGCACAGCTGTGGTTCCAAATATCAAATTAGCACTAATTTTAATTTGTAGTTTGAGCGCAACACCACTGAGTTGTGTAATAAAATTTTCACTTGGAATTAGAGTCATCCAAGTATACTCAGGTATAGTCCACAGGTGGTCGAGATCAGAACCCAAAACCCATGCACAAAGCAAGTTAGAGAGCTGTAACAGGCCCTGGGATAACCATGTTCCCCATTCAAACTATTAAACCTGTACAAGTACACTGTTGAAATAAAACCCGACAAAGCACGAGGCAAAACCTTGAGCAGTATTTCATGTATAATGAGAGTTGAAGTTTTTTCATAGGTTAAACAAGAGTAATAAGATTTACATGTTATTCCCTGAAAGCCCCGTTATTTAACATGCCCTCAGATTTCAAGTAGTCTGATATATTACAGTTTTGGCTGTGAAAGTGTTTGTGATTCAGTGAAATATTTCATCACCATTTAATCTGAAGGAGGATACAGAGAACAGCACCACAACGCAAAGCCATATTCCTCACATCACAGAGTAGAACGTTAGACTGCCTCATTAATTCCAAATGAAAAGATAAATAAACATTGTAAAACAAAAGACCACCGCCTTGTTTTCTGATGAAACTTCTACTGATGGAAGAGTCATCTTTAGGCAAGGAGAGTAGCTTGGTAATTACAGTATGATTACTGCACAGGTCCGGAGCGCAGAGCTATAATAACCGAATCAATACTTTCCTTTCGTTTTAACTTTACAAACCAAGGATCTTTTCAAGGGCACACATTGCCCTGTGGGACCAATGCTGAGCCACATTTAAGCAGACGCTCCCCTCTCCGTCTCTTCGTCCATGCCGATACAAACAAAACCTGGTGCCCTATGCAGAGTAAAGTGCTTTATTTCAGGGCTCACGTCCACGATAGCCCACGGCAGCTGGTGTTCTCACAGACCACTGCATGGAAAATGGGCTGATTTCAGGATTTAGCTGCCCGTGGTGATTTCCTCACTTGCTTCTTATTGGGTCCAGAATTACTTTGTTATGGACTTGCGAAAGATTAAAACTGAGGTTTTGAGCTCCCTTCTCTGTTTTCTTAACACGCAGCTCAGTGTTGCTATTGTTTACCTTTATTATCCTTCACTGACGGAAGCAACGCCATTAGTATACAGCTGTTTGATTTTTGCATTTGAAGATTCAAGCTCAGGTACATCTGTTGTTATCATAGTTATGACACCTGAAGGAAAATAACACTCATCAGACTAGGTGAACGTTATATAACATAAACCTAAAATGACGCTAATATTATGACTATATCTGTCAGATATATTGATGTATTACATCTAAGCTCAAACAGCTCCATCAATCATAAAGCAAAACAGACAGTGGCACATCTGTTGTCTATCAGCTTTTATTCATTACACACTAAATGAGAAACAATGAGCACCAAGTTTTCCAAGCACTGCACAACTTATTTAGCAGTCTCGCACCTCATGAAAAGTTTTGATACTTGGATAGCTGTGTTATGCACAGAATTAGGATGCCTGTGTCTCATAGCTCATCAGCACTCTCGGCACCTCCTTTGCTTA